GCTCTTGGGCACATGCTACTATTAAGAAAATCCTTAGTTCCAACCTTCCATCCCTATAGAACATATATATGCGAAGAACCTGCTAGATTCCTTGACTAGAACATACTGATTGATTCAAAATCATACCTTTGACACAACAGTCAAGTGTGCTTATATTTCCCACAGGAAGAAAGAAGCAAAGCAATAGTAGAGCCTTTCCCCTTTTACTCTGTACACTTCCCCTAAGTATTCTCAGAGAATCTGCAGATGACAAAATGAAGGAATGCATAAATAAGGCTATCAAACTTACATGCATGATCTCATATGACTCACAGATAACAACCTAGCAGACAGATAATTATGTCAAGTATTATTACAAGGGACCATGATTTAAAAGCTAAGTTTGCAGGCTTCGGAGTCTTTACTTAGTTATTTGTCCATGGACATGTTGGCATGCTTCAATCAGTTATAAAAGTAGGGCAAATGAGAGTATTCAACTCATAGACTTGAAAGGATTAATAATTTAATCCATATACATTATTTAGAGTAGTGCCTAGTAGTTGGTTGTTGCTTAGGAAAATTGGAGCTATTATTATTATTTTAAAATTGATGGCACTGAGGATCATACAAAATGACTTTCTCCAAAATAATGCAAGTGGTCAGTGACGAGACCTATCCTTTCCCTTCCCAAAACTTCTAAAGATTTTCCATGTTACCAGAAAGTATTCCAGCAGCATTTCATTTAATGTCTATAAATATATACTTTGAAGTCATGGAAATATTTGAGAATGCTGGCATAAGTATAGAGTACTGAGCAGTACTGATGTATTCTCAAGAAATCCCAACTGTTAGATTGACCACACAAAGAAATAAAGGTCAACTCCTATTAAAAACCTACCAATTACCACTTCTAGGTGAGGTTCTGGAATAGCTTGTTTGCTGGACCAAGAAAAACTAAGGCCCTAGTGCCTTAGACATAAGCAAAGCTATACTTTTCCATGCCTCATGTGTATTTCTTAATGCAACCAAGAAAACTACTTATATTATTATTATCATTATCATTATTATTATCCCTTGAATTTTCTGTGCCTTTCATGTCTCTGGGAAATATCCCAATCCTTGACCAACTTCACAGTATTATTCTGTTGATGTTTAAGAATAAGTTGCATTTTGTATTTTCAAACCATCTGAGAAACGCTTCATTATCTCCTCATATGACACTGATGGGCCCTGTCCTGTTTTTCTTCAGGACAGAATCTTCCTATATCATAATAGCACTTGTGAGCTACATTGTTTTCAAAGAATTCCTGGTCTCTCATCTCCACCACACTAAGGATACTACATTTTTTTCAGTATCTACAATACACACATACACAAAGGTGTATAAATATTTACTGACCAACTGGAAGAGTACCAGAAGAATGACTGACTGGATGAATACAATAGATGAATAAAAGAGACAAAAAGATCTCACCCAAATTATCATCCAACTATTAAGCTCATTATATAATCTAATTTGACTTGAGACCAGAGAAAGGGAAGATGAAATCAGTGATAAGAAGAAATGTTGTAACTTTGTATATGATATTAATCAGCTAATGAAGCTCCAAGTTTCTGCCTAGATCCATAGAATTAAAAAAGAGAAAATTTCACCACCAGCTATCTAGATTGATTTGCATGTGTTCAAATCTTCAAAGTATTCCCTTTGATTCCTTTAATCAATAGCTATTTTAGAAAGCTCTTCATTACTTCCTAATTGTCCAAATTCATTTTCTTCATTTTTTTTCTTATTAGAGAGATATTTTTCAAATGAGTTAAGTAGATGAGCAATTTTAGAATCATTATTAACTCCAAGCGTATCTCTCAGTTATTAGCATGCCCCTTCTCTCTCGAGGACTAAATTCTTTACTCCATTTTAAAAGGCCATCTGGTTCATTTAAAAGACTTCTTTCTTCTCATACATCCCAAATCTTAGCATATTTACCCTATGCTAAGAGGAATCCATGTTTACAATAACCCTAATCCTAGCTTCCTTATTACATTTCGAGTTTGGGATGAAGATGCAAGTAATTCCCTATTAACAAGTCAAAAAATATGTTAGTAGCATATACCTAGATTTTAATTCATCCCAACCAAGTAAACTGGTAAAGTCATAACCAGGGCCCAAAACACATTTTCCAAATAATTTAGATGAATATTTTTAACTTAAAGTGTATTAAAGTTAAAAATGCACATATTCCTAGCTACAACAATCCCACTGCTGGTATCTGTGTCACAGAAATAAAAACATCATGTATCTCAATACTGACTGTTGTGGCAAAAATAGTGGAACAAAATGAATGTCCATCCATAAAAGTGTGGCTTAAAATTTATGGTACATCAACATCATGGGTGATTAAGCAGCTATTTTTATGTGAATACATGAGCACGGAGAAAAAATATAAATGAGTATTCAGTAGGTGGTTGTTACTGTGGAGGGGAGAGGAAGTTGAAGGGGGAAGAAGAGAGGCAGAAGGGAGGAGGAAGATAAAAAGGAGAGGTATTCACTATAAAACAATGTAGAGACTCTAAATTGATTTATGCAAAATTATATAGTGCATACGACTATGAAGAAATAGAAAAGAGTATCCTCACATACTGAGGGCAACAGAACTATAAGCTTTTATACTCTTGAATTGCATACTCTGCTAATTATTTATATTGATTTTTAAATTGAATTTTTATCACTTGAATTATAGCTTATATCATTTGAAAAATATCAAACTTATTTTCATTGTGACCGCTCCCTCTTTTCATGGTGATATTGAGAGAAAGGAAAGAGAGAGAGGGAGAAACAAAGAAAGACAGAGAGAATGGGTCAGCTGTCAGTAACTATGTACTCATACATAAGAACTGGAATCTACCTACTAGATAAAGAGAGGTTATAGGTAGCGCCGCCAAGCTATAATCAACCACTTGACAGAGTAGGTGACCTATCATTCATATTCTTTTTAAAAAAGACAATATTTGATGATTTTAATTTTCAATCCACATTCAAGACCCAGCTAATGACCTTTCTTACTAACTGGGTGAATCCCTGTTTGCCCAAATGTTTGATTTCCTAGGAAATCTTCAAAATCTTCCATAAAATCTCTCCTAAATTTATATACTTTGTGAAAGCTCATTTGCTAGATGAAATATAACACTGTGTAGGAGACTTGAACTCCTACTTTAGCTTGTATATGCCTCAGAATTTATCAGTGTTCCTTTTTCAATTCAACAGGATTTCTACAGTGAGAGATGGAAAGTTATCACAATCTGAGGATAACACACCAGAACAATCATGCTGAACAATGCAATGCAGCCTCCTGAAAGGTGTTTTGTATAGTTGGTTATCTCACATGGTGATGGAACTCTTTGGTATATAAAAGAGCTTGTGGAAAAGACACAACAACTCTGCTTTTATTTAAAATATTTCTACATTTTCAACAACCCAAAATTGAAAAATAAAATATCTAGCTGCTTATATTTCAGAAAGCATTGTAATTGCTTTGGTAAATAAAAGTTGTTAGGAAGTTGGCATAATCAAAAGATTCAAGTACTGTTACAGATAATAAAGAATAAATTAATCCAGGTACAAATTCAAGGCCAGTATCATTATCATATGTCTTTTTAATTACCTTTCCCCTAAGGGCCTTGATGCTTTGCAAGATTTGTTCTACCAAACAGATGAATTAATAAAGTAAAATCTAATTATTATTTTTTTAACTCTTAATAAATCAATGACATGTGTAATTGCCGATCACAGCTACTGATCAAGATGAGGAAACCCAGAGTTGCCCATGTATTAGAAACAATTTATTCAGTGGCAAATAATTTCTTATTATGGAATAATGTGTAATTTCTATTTGCTTTTTAAACTAATGGAAACAACTGAAGATACACCCCAGAGCTCATAATGCACACTGACCTCTGTTTCAGATCAGTGTACCTTAGTCACGGAATACATTGGTGTGAGAAATCAACTGTATTTTAATTCAAAATTTGTTTTTTTTTTTAAAGTCAAACAACCCCCCCCCAAAAAAAAGTATTATCAGGATTAATTTACTTACAAGAAGAATAGCTTTGAGGTGACCCATGAAAAATATTAAACTTAAACTGTGCCGAGGGCAGGAAGACATATGGACATGAGTGATGAGCTCTCGGCTGCTTGCAATTTCACTTACAAAGATTCAGGTAATGGTTAAAAGAGAGTAAACATAACAGCAGAAGAAAAAGAATAAATTATTTTTTCATTAGCTTTTTACACACATTTCTTTAAACTCTCTAAGATAGAGGGTGTTTCATTTTTCCCACTCTAAAAAGATAAATGCAGATCTGTGAATCATCTGTGGAAACTAGCATGAGATGATCAAGTTAAAACAAATCCTTTGAAAGCACCTGATCTTATGGAAGATGTATTAAAGGATAATCATTCTAAAACCTCTGTGCAACGTACATCTTAAATGCACAGGTCCAAAACTAACAGTCAATAAAGTTCCAACAAGATTGAGATTTGAAACTGAGAATCACACAAATGTTGGGATTTTTAAATTTATTTTTAATAAATGGCATGAAAGTAGTAAATATCACATCATAAAAAATTATGCTATTAATTCCCACTTTGATCATTCACAAACCATAAAGATTTCAAAGAAGACAACTATACCAGCAATTTCAGACCACGGCGTCATTGACGAGTTAACGTCTGAAGTGAGAATAAAGTTCTCTTATTAAGCTGCTATTTCCTTACAAAATAGACCACTTTGTAGGAATGCCATTTGAACTCTTGTAGTGAATAATTACAACTAAACTACAAGCATATTTTCACAATGCTCAGTACACTTTAGATTGTAGACTTGTGCTTAGCAGCCCATTTTAAAAGCTCATAAATCCATAGAGGAATAAACCTGACATTAGTCTGAATCGACAAAATTGACTGCCCCCTAAAAGCAAAGCAGACAGTTCCAAATCAGAATAAAACGTTCTTGTTAGTGACTCACCGTATTGACAGTGAGGTCCCTGGAAACCCTCTGAGCACTTGCACTGCTGGGCTTCACCATTCAAGCACCTTCTTCCATTGAAACAAGGTTCCATTGCTGAGACAGCTGAAAGGAAGAAGGTGGGAGAACAGAGTTGAGGAAAAGAAAGGAAATCCTCAATGTAAGCACACAACTAATGTAAATACAATCTAGAAATTTCCATCAGTCCTCCATAGCAAGGTTAAACCGTGCTGTCATTATAAGTGAAGGCCTTGCTCTCTAAAACCTTGTAGAACTCTATGCAGAAGAATCTGCATCACCTGGAAGCTTGTTAAAATACAGAATCTCAGCCCCCACCCCAGACCTACAAATTAGAATCCACATATTAACAAGATACTAGGTGATGTGTGTTTACATTCAAGTTTGAGTAACACTAACATAAAAGAACTCCCTGGATAAGGTGATCATAAGGTGGCCAAAACAATCTAAAATCAAGCAAGAAACACTAATATTTACCAGAGGCAAAGACTGATAGGAGTCATACAATATAAAGAATTCATCTCCTGTTCTTTATTTCTCAGGTGTTCATAAGGTAGGTGAAACAAGATCAAGACCAGATGTTTTTTGGGTTTTTTTAAAGATTTATTTATTTATTTATTTATACAAGCACTGGGTACAGTCAGAAGCACGGGAGGGTGAGAGAATTCACCAGAGCCAGGGCGGGGAACAAAACAGGCAGACTGACGAAATACAATGCTGAGGGGAGCAGCAGGCGCACCATGTGGGACCCTCACTGGGGGCCGGGGCAGAGGCTGTGGGCAGCTTCGCAGCCCAGCTTTTAACCACTGCACCACCAAGGGAGGTCCGAGACCAGATGTTTTCATTGAGCTAAGACTAGACAGCTTCAGTGGCCCAGCATTGCCTGCAAATACACAGTGACCCTGATGCCACTGAAGACAATGTCTGCTTAACATGGGAAGCCTCAGGCAACATCACTGAGATAGTCTGAGAACAGTAAGCACACTGGGGAAGGAGGCAGACTGCAGTCAAACCCCTCAAGGTATGGGGTAGCAAGAGAGATGAATTGTGTTGTGGCGCTGCATTGATTGCAACACGCGGAAGCATTTTAAGTAACTTGGTAATAACCATAAACACACAGGTAAAGGAGTTACTAAATGGAGCCATTTCTCCTGGCATGTATGAACTATATAATGCCACTACATCTGCTACTTGAAACCTGTCAAACATATTCCAAAGATTCTGGAATGCCCTCATCAGAGGTTTGTAAAAAGACTGCAGACCTCATCTTAAAAAGTAAATGGCCTCCAGAGTTCTGCAATTAATCATGACAAGCACAAGTTGAGAAATCGCATTTAGATTTAGTATAGTGATTTCCCTCCAGACTTTTGAATCAACTGTGTATTACAAACTTGATGATACGGAAGGGGCAAACAGGAAAGGGGGATGGAAGTCAAGGTATAACGTGCCTGGCTTTAAATAAATGGTCTTTTTTTAAAAAAAGAGACAAAATATAAAGCAGCAGTTCTGTGGTCCTGAATGTTGACCTATCATTAGAAACACTTAACAGAAAGGCTTTTTATGCATTTTTTAACATGTCATGTGTGAATTTTCAGTCCAGAGAGATGCTTTGAATCCTAGGTAATTCTAATGACAGCTAAAACTTGGCAGGCATGATATGACTGAAGTCCCAAACACAGCAAAGTCATTAGTTCTAGTGACAGAGAGTTAGACAGAAAGAATTATAACTTACAGTGCAGGCAGCCAGGCTCTTCTGCCCGCCGGCTCCAACCAGGGCAGCACCTGTAGAAGGTCTGCTGCTCTATGCTGTATGTCTGTCTGTAGATGGTATAGTACCTGGTCCTGAGAAACACAGGAACCTAGATCAGTAATGCTTCCCCTTAGGGCAAAGCGACCACCTTAAACCTACCACAAAATTCTTCCTCTAACCCAAACCCTGCCATTTGTACACACACCCCCTCACTACACAAGCAACCAAATTCCATATAGGCAGGTATAGTTTAAAGAAAATTAACATGGACCCCCATGTTCTATGTATAAACTATACTAAAGATCACCCCAACTATAAAGAAAGAAATGCAAAATTATAAAAAGAAATGAAATCTTGAAGGATAAGGTATATATTCTTCAGTTTCACATTTAAGTTCCTTCATATATTAGCCCCATTATAGCATGCATTCGCAAGTGATAATAACATCCACAAGGGGGCGACGATGGGATACTGGGTAGGAGGGGTGAAATAAATCTGAACACAGCTTGTGCTCCTACAACGAAGCACCCTACATAAACAAATATTAAGCATATCTGTGGCGCTAAAAGCTCATGGGAAAGGAGAATTACTAAAATGAAAATGTTTGAAACAACTCCTTTGGACCCCAACGAACAAAAGTTTGAAAACATTACACAATTATTAATGGGAACCTCACAATTTCCCATAATACCAAACATCCCTACACAAACTAATTTCCTTTCTATCAAAATCAATGTCATATTTATTCTTTATTATGAAAATATTAACATATTCTCCCCCCTTCATTCTTCAGGACCCCAAACCACATTTCAAAGGCAATTTCAAGTTCCATTTCCTCCAACTTTCTTTTCTCACCATGTATATCTATGGGTGACTTGGTGGTGGGTGTGATGTGGTAGCTTTCACATAAAAGTTGTGGCCCTATAGTTCTAATCATACTATGCTATAAACCAATGATATTTGAAAAGAAAAAATAAATGTGTTTTCAGTTAATCCTCATGATATGCATGCCAGATCTTATTTTCTAACTTCACAGACTAAAACATAGAGAAATGTAGGGACTTTGCTTACATTCACACAGCTATTAAGATCCAGGGAAATTTTTCTGATTTAAATTTCCTTTCAAGTTCCTGACTGTAGACCAAGCAAGACTATCTATATGAAGTTTTACATACACACATGCACCTATGATGTATATGTGAGTATAGGCAATTATAATTGATTTCATTTTATAATTTTATTTACCATTTAATCTATATTATCAGTGTTCTGCTATTTCTGTACAAAGGCAAACCAGTTATTTAAAAATGTACCAACTTTCATTTGGCAATAGTAAGAATAATAATAACAATATTTTCATATACCTAGAACTATACTTTTTTCCCCACTTTATCCTGATTCTAGAGTCAGCTGATTCATTTACACAAAATGTACACATTAGCAATTATTTGTACTAAATAGTACATATACTTTCTATAAAACTATTTTAAAACTGAAAAATAATCTGGATGAAGCCTTGAATCTTAGAAACTTGCTTTCCTCACATCTTCCAGCCTGCTGAGTTAGTCCTAATTCAAAGACCATAATAAACTTACACCAGTTCTAGGTTTCAGCATGTTACAAGAGAATGAGGGGCAAGTCAGACACTGGTTCACAAATGTAGCTACACTGATTCAAGTTATGTGAATTCTAGCAAACCAGCACAATTATCTCTTGGTCCTATCAATCAATCTTCTGATCTTCAGCTTTCAAAAGTCTATCATGTCATGAGGTAAAATTAGTGCATCTAATCCAAAAGAACTCACTCATAAATAAAATTTAATGTAAAGCAATAACATAGGTTGTCTCTGAAGGAAAAAGATAACTCTGAAAGTTGCTGGTGAGCATAATATATGCTCACTTGGGCCTCCCTGGTGGCGCAGGCGGTTGAGCGCAGCGCTGTGAAGCTGTCCGCAGCCTCTGCAGTGCGGGTTCGATCCCCGCCAGCCAGCGAGGGTCCCACACAGAGAGGCAGATCTCTCCTGTCTCGCCCGTTGCTCCTCTCAGCAGCGTATTTCATCAGTCTGCCTGTTCTGTTCCCCGCTCTGTCTCTGGTCAATCTTCTCACCCTCCCGCGCATCTGGCCTGTACCCCGGTTCTTGCATAAATAAAATAAATATTAAAAAAAATATGCTCACTTACTTAGTCATAGAATTATCTTCTAAAATTTCTTGGCTAAAATATTTACATGCAGTTGAGACTTTTGGTTTGGATTTTTAGTAATCACAAGGAGTAGCAGAAATACATTACCTTCTCTCGTAACCCACGCACCATCCTGAGCCGGGGCAGCCCTGTTTCCAAAGCTTGGCTGTCTGCGTGAATGCCTGCACACACGGATGTGGAAGGCCCACCACCATCAGCTGCTGTTCTTTGCAAACGTTTGGCCTTGGGGGGAAAAAAAAAAAAGAGTAGAACATAGTAAAAAATATATACTTTTTTTTTCTGTTTTATACATAAATCATTTATTTTTCCATTTTCCACAAGACGCTTGTGGTGACTTATGAAAATCCATTCAGTGATAAAAATACAACATAAAAAAAATTAAATTCTAGTCTAGGAAAAGTAAGAATAAATTTTTAAAACAAGGATACAGTTATAAGACAATATCAAAGTCATCAGTTTCTATGTGCTTCGAAAAACTGAACTATAATACAAAGCAAGTTCTGAGCTCTTTCACAACCAACAGAAACAGAATTACATGATCCCCCATTTCCTTGAAGAAAAGGCAGACTGATTAAACAAAAAAGTTAAATTTTTCCTGGAAAGTTTTCCCAAACAATATTACCCATTGGCACATAATTTTCACATATAATGCTTATCGAACACAAATATTTCACAACCAATACCAGTACATTAACGTTTCCTTATAGAAAGTTTATACAAGTTTACAGAGATTTACCAAGCAAATTATCTTTATGTTTTACATATGTGGGGCGAGCTAACACTGACAATTTGGAATATCTGAAATTTTGTTATAATCTTTTATAATTTGAAGAATGATTTACTTAGGGATTAGCCCATAATAATTGTTTTTATTGAAAGCAATACTAATTATAAGAACAAATTGGTCCAAATGCTCACACTTTTCATGCACTCATTCTGTTACATGCATGACCACTGGAGTCAGACACTGATGTCCTTATCTTTGGGAAACTTACTATCAGTCTGGCTTATTATCCATATTCATAACCTGTTGAAAATAGAAATCATTTCTGATTCAAGAAATGTTGTGCTCCCTAAATAATTCGGTGAACTTTTCCAGTTATATTATGATAATAATGATAAAAATAGTAATTTCATACTAACATCAGTTATATCACCCCTCTATAGCTTGCAGTACCACGTTGCGATCACCTATTTCTATGGTCTTATTAAATTTCACCATCTGATTTCACTTACAGCCCAATTCTCACTTTCAGATATATTTTTGAAAAGTGATGTTTTGGGATGTTAACTTCACCTAAACTGAATAAAAGTCATGTTGAACTTATTATTTATGAGTTTGCATAGCACATTTTTAATGGTTTAGATAAATACTGTAATGAACACATGTGACTAATGCACATAGGTTGGGAATCTATAAAAATCATAAGTAATTGGATACTATGTCTAAATAAAACCTTAGCTTTTAGATACTTCACATTGGGGTATCAGCAAACTGTCTATACCTACACCTTTAATGTGAGTTTACATGGTTTTTTGTTTTGGTTTTTTGGGTTTTTTTGTGAAAAAACTAGAGCCAGTTAGAATAAGCTCACTGTAACTTTGTTTTTTCAGTCAATATTTTGAAAACTTATACTCCCTCCAGCCTTCAACTCCATTTTGTGACTTATCCTTCCTCTATTATCACATCCACCTACCCATCTATACATTGATCTACCCACCTATGCATTAGTTCACCCATCCATCCATTTATGCATCAATCCATCAGATACTTGCTAGCACCTTCATGTGCCAGAACCATTTCCCCAAAAAGGATTTGAGAATATGTAGTTTATATGGAAGGTGCAGAAAACATATGTAAGGGGATGGTAAAATGAGACAGGGAAGGAGAGCTAGCTAATAAATAGGTATAGTAAAGATCCAGTAAGAACTTTAGATGACTAGCCTTCCCCAAAAGTTGAGGGAATCTAGATATTTGTATACTGATCTCTGTCAGTGATTTGCTGGGGGGCTGCTGCTTCTCTAGCATTTCAGGGTGAAGTACAGTCAGGCAGAGTCAGCTTCCAGAAGTCAAATAAATAAAATCTCATCTTAGCCAAAGTCCTTAGGCAAAGAAATGCAAATGATGGCAGATAAAGAAGAGGGGATATGGGTACTGTACTGATAGTTTCAGGTATAGGAGGCACAAAAGAAAGACAGCTTAGGACCTCCCTGGTGGTGCAAGGGGTTTAAGATGCAACCTATCAAGCTATCCACAACCACTGCAGCAACAGTTTGATACCCGGCCAGGTTGCTGCAACAGACCTCTCCTGACTCGCCCACTGCTCCCCTCAGCAGTGTATTTCAGTCAATCTGCCTGTTCTGTTCCCCGCTCTGTCTCTGATGAATCCTATCACCCCCCACACCTCTGGCCTGTACCCCAGTTCTTGTATGCATCAATCAATCTTTTTTAAAAAGGCAGCTTAAATCACTTTGCATTAAGAACTGAAATCAAATAAAGAAAGGGCATAAATAAAAGCACCTAAATAAACATAAAATGTGAAGTGCTAAGAAAGCAGTCAAGGGGCTGAAACAGGTAGGAAAGATTTTACTGAAGATGTGACACTGTGACCTGAAAGGGGAAGAGAAGCCAGTGAGAGAAGAAGCATGGAATATTATTCAGGTGGAAGAAATAGGGTGAACAGAGGTTTTAAAAGGGGAAGTTGCTTGCCTCCAGAGATCTGAAAGATGGACAAATTGTCTCAAATGAAGAGATGCTCAGTGTGGCAGACAGGGCCTTTCAGCCTGAGAAGTTTGATTTTTAACCTCAAGGCACAGGAAGCCATAGAAGATTTATTGATTTCTGGCTCTGTTTCCTTCAGCCATCTGAGGTACAGGCATGTAATGCTGTCTCTCTGATATAAACTGCAGCTCCCTTCCTTAAGAGCAACATAAGTTAGCTCATGGGCAATACAATAAAAGCCTGGCCCAATCCAGCCAGCCTGTTCCACAAGTTCTACCTTGAGATTGTCCTGATTCTTACAAAGAATAAAAGCACCATAGGAAACCTACCTTTAAAGAGAGCCAAAGCCAAAACCTGAAGTAACAGTGATCAAGGAAAAGTACAGAACAAATTTTATGCATCACATTGTTTTAGAATAAATTATCTACAAAATATGTAATCCAGATTGTCACCAATAATATCTCTCTTTACATAATAAGAAATGTTAATGTCACTTTAAAATTTCATATATTACATTACTAAACCATAGTTAACAATTAGTTTTGGCTAAGATGAGATTTTATTTTGCATTCTATCACGGGGGATGTTTTGGTAAAGCGGCATCTTTCTTGACCCCCAACACACACATGCTAATTAAAGTGAGTCACTTGGTTATTTCACTAGTGTCCTGAGTACATTTAGTCGAAAATAATCTAAATCCTTTACTATGAAGCCTATAAATGCGAATAGTAAAAAGTCTGAGTAATTGAAGAATATAGAAAAATCAAACTTGTTCCTGATATGCTTCCAGATATAACCACTGGTAATCATCAGCTATATTCATATGCAATTATTTCTGGATCCCACAAATATATTTTTGCATAAATAGGAGCACTTGAATAACAAATATTTAAATAATAAGCTCTTTTTTTAATTCAGCAACAATAAGGTATACATATTTTTCATTTCAAAATACACAGATTTATTTTAAATCATTTGTTTAATTCCAAAATATGGAATTACCATTATAATAGGATAAATTTAGCCAACACCCTATTGATATTTAGTTGTTTCTAATAGTTTGCAATATAAACAACTCTGATGTCAGACCTCTTATATAAACAACTGAATTACAGATTCATTTTTTCTTCTTAAATTTTTATTATTAATTTTTGCCCTGATATCCTTTTGCTCTAGTTTTCTTTTTTTATTCTCTCTCTTACATGTTTTAGACTTTCTCAAGTATGTCAGGTTTTCATTGCTTGCTCAGTGCATGAGGTTCCAGAAACTGGTTGGGAGCCATGTGTGATAGACTCACTGTCAAGTGATTGGGGTGAATTTTTTTTTTCAGTTCTTTAATGTAAGTGTATAAAATCTGATTTTTAGGGACATTCAGTTTTTCCAGAAAAGTGTCCCACTCTTCTACCTGGGGAAGTAAATACCTTGTAGCTAATGCTTGGGGACCAGACAGAGGAAAGGCATCCTGTCATTTTCACCCCTTACCAACTCCCCAACAGTGCCAATCAGGACCCCTTCTAAAGATTCTCTGGTTCTTGATCACCAAGGGTAAGAATATATTCAATTGTTACATACAGTATTTCAAACACCTCCACCTCTAATTGCACATATCTCACCTGTGCACTCCTTTACTTCACTCTAAAAGATAAATGTTGACCCTCTCCAGGGTTCCACATGAAAGTCGAACAAGCCCATCAGAATAGTATAAAGAATACATCAAAATGGGCCTCCCCGGTGGCACAGTGGTTGAGCACTGGGTTGCGAAGCTGCCCGCAGCCTCTGCGGCACTGGTTCGATCCCTGGCTGCTCCCCGGCCACCGGAGGAGGGTCCCACATGGCGCGCAGACCTCTCCTGCCACCGGCTGCTCCCCTCAGCAGTGTACTTCAGTCCTTCTGCCTGCTCTGCTCCCCACTCTGGCTCTGGTGAATTCTCTCACCCTCCCGCGCTTCTGACTGTACCCAGTGCATGTATAAACAAAACAAACTAACAAATAAAATAAATAAATAAATAAAACATGCCTCTATTAAAAAAAAAAGCATAAAAATATAAAATGTTTAAAAAAAAAAAAGAATACATCAAAATCAAAGTATCTGATACAGATGCAAAAAGAAATCATATCTGAGCTTCCACTATCTGAATAAAGTAGAGCTTTACAATAATCATCTTTCACAAATGCCCCTCCCCACGCTCCACCACCATGCCAGGTAAATCTCTAGTTGAGGTGGCAATTGACCTTGTGCACTGGAACAGCCCAAAGCAAATCTGTGTAAACAAATATCGTCAGAACCTTTCATCTTTTTAAGCTCTAAACTCTCTCTGATCAAGCAGTGTATAAGCCCTTATCCCTAAATGTTCAGGGAGCTGCTCTCTATAGAGAGCTCTTGCATGCTTAAGTAATAAACTCTTCTCCTGTTAATCTTTCTGTTGTCAATTAATGCCCAGGACTCCACGCATTCAAACTGAAGTTGGTAGATGAAAAGATTTTCCTCCCAACATTTTTGA